CAGTGAAAGGCCCGCGTACCGCAAAAAAACAAAACAAAACAAAATGCAGATTCCTAGTGTTAAATGCCCACAGTTATTAACCCCCCTCCTTTTACAGATGCAGAAATGGGGGCAGAGGAGGCCAAGCCACATGCCTAAGGGCACCAGCTGGTCAGCAGAGCTGGGAGTAGGGTGTCCTGATTCTCCAGCAAGGGTGTCTTGACTATATCGCACTGCGTCTCAGTCACCTGTGGCAGATGCTTGGCGTTAACCGAAGAGTTAGACAAATGTGGGGTCCAACCAAATGTCACCGACGAGATGTCCAACAACTCAGTTCGGTTCATTCACTATCTACCCAGAGTTAGCGCAGACCCCATAGTACGGGCTCAGCCACACAAGACCGCCCCGCTTCAGACGCCAGCTGAGAACGGGCTGCCGACGCTGCTGCCCATGCTGCCGCCCAGCTCACAACCACCCATCACGTGTGATAATTTGCTAGAACTCACCAACTCAGGAAGATGCTCTCCTTACGAAAAATGTTATAAAGGCTACAGTGAAATGAAAATGGTCCAGAGGGGTCCTGAGCAGGAGCCTCTGTGCCCAGCAAGTGGATGTGGTCAGCAACTTAGAAGCTCCCCAAACTCTGCTTACGGGGTTTTTATTTAGGTTCCATTATGTTGGCATGATTGATTAAATCATTGCCATTGGTGATTCATTTTTTAAATTATTTATTTTTGGCTGCGTTGGGTCTTTGTTGCTGTGCACGGGCTTTCTCTAATTGCGGTGAGCAGGGGCTCCTCTTCGTTGCGGTGAGCGGGCTTCTCATTGCGGTGGCTTCTCTTGTTGCGGAGCACGGGCTCTAGATGCGCGGGCTTCAGTAGTTGTGGCACGTGGGCTCTAGAGTGCAGGCTCAGTAGTTGTGGCGCACAGGCTTAGTTGCTCTGTGGCATGTGGGATCTTCTCAGACCAGGGCTCGAACCCGTGTCCCCTGCATTGGCAGGTGGATTCCTACCACTGCGCTACCAGGGAAGTCCTTAGCCATTGGTGATTGATTGATCTCTGGCCTCCCTCTCCAGAGGGAGGGATGGGTGGTGGGTGGTGGGTGGTGGTGGAGGGTGGGGCTGGAAGTTCTAAGGGGTCAAAGGTGTGGTTTTCCTGGTGACCAGATCCCATCCTGAAGCTGTTGAGTTGGAAGCTATTCCATAACATCTTACGGAAAAACCCGAACGAACTTTTTCGCCAGCCCAACACTTGGGCTTGGGCTCCCCCAGGAGTCCTCTCATTAGCACACAAAGAGAGTAAATTCCAAGGGTTTTGTGCCAGGAACTGCACAAAAAACAAAGTATGTATTTATTGTACCACGTGGGGTATTTGCAATATTTTTAAAAATACAGTTGTACTGCAAAGACAGAATAGGCCTCTACAATGATGCTTATTCACATCATTTCTACCCCCAGTTGTCTATAGAGGTCTCAAGGGCACACACAGGTCACACCAGACACTGTTGGTGCAGGAGGGCTGGGTGTGTGTGTGTGACTCGGGGATGGGCAGGCTTCCCTCCCTGTGTCTCAGGATACCAACCTCAAATTCAAAGGCCCTGTAATGGAGCTCAGTGGCAGGGCTGTAACAGAACTGTGAGGTCCAGCTAGAGACAACAGCAAAGATGAGGCAATCTGATGAGGTGTCTGGGACAGAGAGGGTCCACCCCGCCACAGATGCAACCTCAGGCACCCAAGGAGCTTCCAGACTTAAAAAATGTCTCCCAGGGACTTCCCTGGTGGCGCAGCGGTTAAGAATCCGCCTGCAAGTGCAGGGTACACGGATTCGAGCCCTGGTCCGGGAAGATCCCACATGCCGTAGAGGAACCAAGCCCGTGAGCCACAACTACTGAACCTGCATTCTAGTGCCTGCACGCCACAACTACTGAGCCCACGTGCCACAACTAGTGAAGCCTGCGCGCCTAGAGCCCGTGCTCTGCAACAAGAGAAGCCACTGCAGTGAGAAGCCCACGGACCGCAAGTAGAGGAAGCCCAAGCTCAGCAACGAAGACCCACCACAGCCAAAAATAAATAAGCAAATAAATAAATTTATTCTTAAAAAGAAGTCTCTTATTTGTCAGTCAGGGTGCCTCAAACTCGGGCAGGCTTCGGTTATTAATGTAGAGGTGTTAACTGGAAGAAGTAAGGCATTACATCATTACCAGACATTAGTGGGGTTAGTCAGAGGAGAGTTCCCTCCCTCCCTGCAGAGGCCCAGCAACACTCCTCCACACCCTGAGGAGATGGCCACACCTCCACAGCGACCTCGCGTCACAGCTGTGGCCCAGGGCCCCGGGGGTGAGCTCAGGATGCTGGGCAGAGTTTGAAAACAGGCAGCTCCATAACTTCCACTAGAAAACTCAGACATTGACTGTAATTCATTTTGGTGTCTTTAAATTTCAAGCTCATTTATCCAGGTCAGGAACCATTTGTTTGCATCTAACAAGTCAAGGCCTACGGTAGCATCTTTCTAACATATGGCCTGTTTGTGTGCACCTGTGCAGCCTTGTGGGTGAGCGGAAGGTTGATCGGCAGGGATCACACCATCAGCTGTGCTGGGACAGGGCACGTGACCTGGTACAGACCCCTCAGCTCCCCCAGCCACGCAATCTGCTTTTCAGAGAAAGGGGAGCTGGGGCTGGAGGGGTTGGGCATGTAGTAGTTCACCTATGTGAATCACTCATCTCCTGGAGAATGTCTCAAAAGCAGCTTGGAGGGATCATTCTGGAATGCCTGCTGGCCCAGAAAAGGAGGCAGAAAAAGCTCCTCGACACCCAGCAAGCTCATCACCATGGCAACCCTCCATCCCTGAACTGCCCATCCCTTGGCTATCTCTCCCTAAGGAGACTGACTGAGGTGATGCAAATTTAAATGAGGGCTTGTCTTTCTTTCAAAAAAATTTATCTTGAAATATTACAGATAAATAGAGTAGAAAGGTATAATGAATAACATAAATATCTGTGTCCCCAACTCCCAACTGAAGATATAAACCCACATCATTAAACGAAGCTCCTCTGTTATCTTTCTTTTATTGTATAACCTTCCCAATCCCATGAGAGATAACCGCTATGCTGAATTTAGTGTTTATCACCCATTTGTTTATATATATTTATATTGAATGAATATATGAATATATATAATTATATAGTATATATATTATTCGGAGTCAAAGGACAATATCTTTCTCATGTCTTAAAAATTTTATTGAGGTGAAATTCACATAACATAAAATTAACCATTTAAAAGTGTACAATTCAGCGGCATTTACTGCATTCACGATGTTGGGCAACCATCACCTCTATGTTCACATGCTTTTGAACTTGTATAACTGGGACTGTACGTTAGGTGTTTTGCATCAATGCTGCTTAAGAGGTTCATCTGTGTTGAGGCATGTAGCCCTGGCCCAGTCGTTTCACTGCTGTACTGTACTCCACTGTGTGGCTATTTCACAACTGGCCCCTTCTGCTGATGGGCACTGGGTGGTTTCCAGGTTTTTACTATCACCAATGAGCCTGCCTCCTTGTGCACATGCTGGTGCTTCTCTAGGATGTCAAGCCAAGAGCAGAGCTGCTGTGTCACAGGCCGAGTGCAGCTCCAGATTCATGAGACATCGCCAAAGTGTTCTTCAAGGCGGTGCTAATTTATACTCACAGAAGCCTGGCTGTCTTGGGGAGCTGGGAGCCTTTAGTGTGCAATTTAATTAGAGTAACTTAACACTTGGATAATGTATTTCATTTAACAAAATACTGTGAGGTAGGCAGAGCAGGATTATTAAGCATTCTCAGAAACCTTTTGAAGACAAGGAATCTGAGACACAGAGGGAGGGACTCAACCCGGATGGCAGGGCTACAATCTAAGGTTAGAGGCAGGACGCCAAACCCACTGTAAGATGTTGCCAGTGTTCTCCTCATGTTACATTTCTCCCTTCCCTCCCTGACACAGCCACCTTGTCCCTTACTTGAGCGGAGATCTGTCTACACCATCAGCTTTCTGAGGGTACAACAATGAAGGCTCACCGGCAGACCACGGAGAGGGGCTCTGGAAAGGAGAGTCTCTGGGGACTGGGCAATTCCAGGCTGCAGGGAACCAGGGTGGAATCTTCCAGACTTCCACAGCCCACTTTCCCTCTGTGGTCAACTTCGTGTGCACAGAGATTGCATCTGGTGGTCCTGTTGGATCTAAGTTGCCTTAAGAGGGCATGAAAAAAAAGCTGCAGAAAAAAAAGGAAAGCCTGAAGCAGGAACCCTGGGTACACCTGTGTGCCCAAGGAAGGAGGTGCAGTGGGATGGCATTTAAGATACCTCGACTCTCCGAGGTACTGTCACCTGGGCACCAGCCCCTCCTCCCCTCACTCGCTGAAACCAGGCAGCATCCCAAAGAGGAGAGGGCAACACTGCCTACACCGTATAGCACAGAAACTTGGTTCTGGGGCAGGGCTTATGCCTCCCCACCGGCCTGTCTGCCCAAGGCCTGAGTGTGTCTAGGTGAGGCAGCACACTCTTCCCCAAAGAGAGGTTAAGATGCCGCCCCAGGGCACAGAGGACTGGAAGCTGAAGCCCGTGTGCCCAAGCCTCTGGTGTACTTCTGACACAAGCTTCTGGCACTGGAGTGTGCCAGCTGCCATTCTTCTCAACTGGAAGCATCTCTTCATCTTTGGCTGCTCTGTCCCCTTGCACTCAAATCTTTCCTTTCCAACGTGAATCCTCCAACTAGGAGCTGGGATCCAGAAGGCGATGAGAGGCTGTTTCATCTCGCCGGCAGGGCCCCCCGCCTTCTGTCCTCTAGGCATAAGACATAGGTGTGACCACTGGCAGTCTCGCAGTCTGATCTCAGGCAAGTTTCCTCTTCTGGTCAGATAACTTGTGAGGAAGCACCAGGCACATGGAACCACTGCATCATTTATTAATGAAGCTAAGAGCTTCTGAATCCTTCCCCAGGAGTCCACCATCTTACACCAATTCCTATCTGTTACTGGTGTTTTGGTAATTAAAAAAAAAAAAAAAAGAGTCATGGACGCTTACCCAACATGCCTGAGCAATTCCAGTTCTGGCTAAAGACTGATACCAAATACCAGCAGAAGACTGCACTCCAGAGAGCCACGCCGCACACACCGTCTCTGTCCTGCTGAGGCCAAGAGGCAGCACAGCACCTGGAGAGCCCTGTCACCTGGCCTTCCTGGTCCCTGCCTGGCTACCAGCAGCACCATCACGCCACTCTTCTCTAGGGAGGTTTTCTGCAGCACCAGCTACCAGCTGGCCTGCTGGACCTGTCAGTTCTCAGGAAATCGGGCCCTGGGCTCCTAGACCTGTTCCCCTCCTCAGCCCCAGTGGCGCACGCCTCACTCAAGACTTAGCTCTTAATGCGGCCTTTCTCCCCTAGGGACCTCATGCAGCGCTCCTAATTAGAGGACTGCGCTCCTTGGGAAATAGGTGAACAGAACACATAGAGAAGGCTGTTTTTATTCTTTGACCTTATGCTGTTTTAGGGCAGTTTTTTTCAGTAATGGGAAGGTAACAGATGCTCTGGAAATGTGATGCGTTTATCTGGGACAAGAAGACAAAGACTGATGGCAGGAGCAAGGCCAGGAAACTCATCTCTCAGGGATTCTCTGGACTCCACAGACCAGCAGGAAGTATCCTTGGCTGCCCTCCTCAGTCATCCATGCCACGGACAAGGGAGGCGCACGGTGCCCGGCAAAGGGCTACCGAGCTGCCTCCCAGCGCTGACTCAGGCCCCCACTTCCTGCAAACATTTTCCTTGGCAATTCTCAACTCCTAGATAAAGAGATGTCACTTCCTTTGGGAGTCAGGCAGATTAGTTTTCACTAAGTGTGGATGTGAAGAGCTAGATAAAATATTATCCACTTGTTCTTAAAAACTGTGGGCTATGGTTCAAAGAAGACTCTGACAGAAAAGATGATTCTCAACTGAAGATGCACACACCTCAATCAGCCCGACCACCCAGCCTGGCCTCAGTGAGTAATGAGGGTCATAACCTCACAGCCATGCAGGGCTGACAATCAGGTCTTGGTTGCATGAGGTTCTGCCCACATATTAGAGGACTGGAGGGGGAGACCTGTGCATGTTCCCTGCACATGTCACTGGCTCATCTTGACCCTGTGAGGTTCTGGTATTACTCAGGCCACTTACAGACCACAAAATGAAGGTTCAGAAAGCTGAACTGTGCTCAAGGTCACAGAGCTGGTAGATGTCCAGGCAGGATTCTGAATTCCAGTCTTTGGAAGCCTACCTCCCCCAAACCTGTCCGTGTTACTCAGGACATCCCCACCGCCAGCCCACAGGGGCAGGATGTGCTGTTTACTGCTTTATTAATATGAAGTTTGGAATTTAAATTTTCCTAAAGACTTAAAAAAAAAAAAGTCCTTTGGAGTCTTCTTTGACAAACCAAAAATTAAAGCATTACTGAGGTGAGAGCACACGTGAAGTTGACTTTGAGAACATGAAAATGGCTGAAGGAAAAGAAAAATCCCTAATGCAGCAATAGTGTATCCTTATTTTCAGCCTCACATTATACCAGCAAATAGGAATCCTATTCAGGAGAGAGAAAGAGATCAGGAGAGAAGCAGGAGTGGAACTGAGAGCTGCCCGGGGACTTGGTGTTCCACCAACACTGGCGAGCCTCTTCACAGGGAGCCCTACAGCCTCTGGGGGTTCACGTGTGTGCAGGCTGGTCACTCTCTCCACCATGGTGGCCAGGACAGGCCTGGGAGGTGCTGGCTTGGCCTGGTGGACTTTGTAGCAGAACAAAGGAAAGGTGAGTGCTGTCATCTTCACCAGCCTCTCACAGGACCAACCTGTACTTTTTAATTTTTATTTTTTAAAAGACAAACTATTAAAAGTAAAATGAATGAAATCACATGAGATCAAGATACAAAGACAGAAATTCAATGTAGAAAAAAAGACCTTGCTGGGAAACAGTCAATGGGAAACACGGGAAACATTTCAAAGACGCACAAAAAGCTCACGTTGTAAACAGGATTAAGCTGCTGTAGGTTCCTCATCACATCAGGGTTTCATTTTGCTCAGCCTGAGATCTCGCTCGATTTCAAACTGCCTGTGATCCACTCGGTCTAGAAAAGCTTTCCGTTCAATGTACCTGGAAGAAAATGAAGGTATCTGTCAGCAGATGCAGTAAAAGAAAATGCCTCCCCTGCACTGTCCTGTCCTGTCCCCCGCATCCCTCACCCCGGTGTAAAGGGGTCCACTTGGCCTGTGGGATTATCAGGTTACAGCAAACATAAACGGATGACCACAGGTGGTGCCCAGAGTGGACAACACGACTATTTCAGGAACATCCAGACCACTCCCATTTAGTCTAAACAAGCACGTTTCTGGTTCAGATGTGAGTGAAAATAGAATGAAAAAGAGAAACCAACAACTTATCAAGGGGAAGTACATTAGAGGCTGAAGGCAAGAAAATGTCGCAATTTTGTAACCAGGTTTTAAGGAAAGAACAGGGACTCCCTCAAGCCCAGGTTCAGAGCCTGGCTTGGTTAGACATTAGCAGACCATGCTGGTCAAGGAGCATCGCTTTTCTCAGCAGCAAAATAGTGACACCACATTTCCTGGCCTTGGCGGTGCGCTGAGTTGGTGGGGAGAGAAAGCTATGTACCCTGCACACACGTATCAAAATGCAGGAAAAGGTGCCTCTACAAATGGAAGAAACCCAGTAAGAACTACCTCCTGGGGCTGCAGGAAAGGTGAAGTGGGCTGAGGTGCGCAGAGCGCTCACCGTCGAAGGTTACCTGCAGCTCCTTCCTTCCCCACACCCTTCCCACCTCTCCTCGTGTCCTCCACCCAGATGCAGCCAGGGTGCTTCTGCGAGGACGACAGAAGAGGCCTTTCCTTAAATTCCTCCAAGGGAACGAGGTCAAGCACCTCTGCCATCCACGGCTCACACACAGGGTCCCCTAAAAGCTGGTGGTTTGCCCCTCATCTTGGCCAGGCTCAGCAGACAAGGCTTCCGTCGGCCTCCCAGGCAGGGTGAGAAGGAAGCACAGGGCTGAAGCAGCAGGCACTGCGAGGAGAAGGCTGGCCGCTGAATGAGACACAGCTGCATTTTCGCGCACCTTCTGGCCTGAACTGTGCTGCCGCTTGCCGGGGGGGAGGGGATCTCTGCTGCTAATTAATCTGTTGAGAGAGCAAAACTGCCACTGAAAACGGGAGGCAGAATTGAATCTCTGCACTAATCTTTCCTTTGTTGCACTGTGGAAAATGTGCATCTGTCATTACAAGGTCATTACGTTTAGGGTGAGAACGTTAGCAGGTTCAGGACCCTGTGTTCCTTTGCTGAGTTCAGGGCCTCGCTTGCCTGCCCACAGCACCCTGTGAGAAGCAACCCAGCCCAGCCCATCCGCTCTCCAGCCAGGCCTGCGGCCACTAACCCTATACCTCACTACGGACAGGGTGGCAGCTCTCAGCTTGAATCCCGACCCTGCGGCTTGCTAGCTGTGTCTCTGGGTAAGCCACGTAACCTTGCTAATTCTGCTTCCTAATTTGCCCGCCCCCCAAAAAAAGGTAATCATCCTTAATCATTCCTACTCTGAAGGGCTGTTGTGGGGATTAAATGCAATAGTGTACATATTATGCCTAGCACAGAGCAGGTGCTCGATAAAATGGCAGAGTTGTCACCATCATTTCGGGAAGCCAGCTTCTGTCAGGGTTCTGAGGACAATCAATCCAAGGGGAACAGTCAGCTCTCTTGATGCACGTTATCAGCAACTACTAGCTACCACCTGGTCTGGGATCAGGAACTCAGCTGCTGTGTCAAAATTGCCAAGGAGGGGCCAGAATGGCTGGAAACACAAGGGCAGGGCCTGCTTGTAGGCTTGACATAAGCCCTCAAGGTCAGGTCATCAAATTTCGCAAATGAAATACAGGATGCCTGGTTAAATTTCAATTTCAGATTCCCCGGCAGATGGGGAAGCCACAGACACTGTGGACCCCTTTTGATAAAGTGTGAAAGCAGGAGAGACTGTGGCCGGTAAGTAGACACATGACAGAACAAATTCATCTTCTGTCTACCACCAAGGGACCCATGATTCCCCAGTGGGGACTGTTAACCGAGACCACTGACGGGCTTTGTCACACTACAACCGTCACCCCTCCCCACCCCAGCCCACAGGCCCTGGTGAAGACCACGACGGAGATCAGTGTTCTGACAGCCTGCGCTTTAACTGCCTCTCTGGAAGTTCCCAAAGAACAAATACGGGAGCCGTGGTTCAAGACAACTTTAGGGCATGTTTCAAGAGAGCCATTACCTAGGGATGCCTGAGAGAGCGGGCCTGGGGGCGGAAAGAAGAGGAAGTATGTGGCTTTGAGCATTTGTGGTCTTTCTTCTTGACTTTCCTTTTAAGAAGAGGAAGTGATACTTAAATTAAGATGCTCACTGAGCATGAATAATGCCTTGCAGGTTCCCGGAAGCGGTGCTGGTGCCGGGTCCAGCTGACTTTGAGACTATCAAGAGCGAAGCCAGGCTGGGTGCTAAACAAGCAGGTGCAGGCAGAGTTCAGGTTTAGGGAACGCCTCGGGCAGCAAAGAGGGGCACATATGCTGAATGCAATTCTCAAGGGCAACCCAGACAAAGGCCATCAAGGCAGGTGTGGCGACTTCATTCCCCCGTGCACAGCATCTGCAGCTGCTAACCCGATCCGTGTGATGGCTTTGGTTCGCGGCCAAGAGCCGACCAGGAACAACACTTCTACTCGACATCCTCCTCCCACCCTCAGGACAGAAAAGGCGCCAAGGATGAGGGTGGCTCTGACATTTACTATGTGTGTGACTGTGGGCAAGATACTTTATTTTTCTTCTCTGTAAAACAGGAATAAAAATGACAACACCCCTCTGACACTACAATGAAACTGTAAGAAGTACTTTGTAAACAATAAAACCAAAAATGGCTATGAGTGTTGTGCGGTTCTTGCTTCCCATTTCTGACCTGACTGTATCACTATAAAGCCTCAGAAACTGGGACAGCTGGAACAGGGACCAAGAGACCAAATGCCCCAGAAAGAGGAAGGGCTTGTGGGGAAGGCTGCCTCCTCCAAGGTGGCCCGAGTGGACGACCTATTTAAACTGAGCCTCAGAAAGTTTTCAGGCACCTTAAGCGGGTTACAGTCCCAGAAGAGAACCACCAGCTGACAAGTGCAAGGCTTCTTTTCTGGTCTGTGCCCAGCACTCCTGGGGACCCAGACTGATTCAGCCCAGTCTACTGGGAAGGGCAGAGGGGATCATCCCTTCCCACCACTACTGCCTTATGTGGCCCATTTAAGAGGCTGCAGCTCTTCACTGTCATTAATAAAATATGCTAATAGCACCAAAACCTAAGGGATTTTCTAAGCTTTCCCTTTCAGAACCAGGTTAGACACAATAGGCTCGGTCATCTTTTTGATCCTGCAACCCAAATTACTTTTCTGCCACCAATTTTCTTGAGATCTAGGCCAATGTGGAGGGAAGGAAAAATAGAAGAAGAGGACGAGAAGGGTAGAAAATGCTTCCAGAGAACATGTTAGTACCTACTTCTGGGAAACCAGGCTGCAAGTGAAAGGACGCCCATCCACCCCCACAAGAAGGCAGAGTTCTGTGGGGCAGCTGATCCCCAAAAGCTCCGCCAAACAGTCACATCCGCCCACGAGAGGCGTCCTGCCCACTGGTCAGGAAAAGAAAGAGCACAGGGAGGTGCAGGGAAATCCGAAGCAGGCACATAACGGAGGACGTTTCAGGGCTGCGTTATCACTATGCCCCCAGCAGAGCCAGCAGGCGTTCTGTGCAGCATAAACCTGAGAAGGAAAGTGGACCAACACCAGAAAGCCACAGGCAGTGCAGGCCGTCTGAGGCTGGAATAAAGCTCTGTGATGTAAGTACTAAGAGGTGCATTTCTTTGCCCTGAGAAGTGCAAGTGAAAGAAGCAATCTGCTCAACATCACAAAAGGCCTGTGCAAGAGGATGACTCGCAAACACCTCGAGGGCCAAAGTGAAAGGGTGGTGATTTTAATTTTCTTGTCCACTGCTTTCCTCCCATCTCACCTCAAGATTGTGCTCGTTCTGAAAGAGTGACTCTTGGGGGTCATGGAGATAGATTCTTTGGAGAAAGAAAATTATTTTCTCTCTCCTTCATGCCTCTCCAAATCACAAGCACACCTGATCTCCAATCATCAAGCTCCATGACCTTCAATTTGATTGCCAGCAGCAGCCGAGACCAAGCCCATATTCCTCTCATTTTCTCTGCGTTGATCCCTCCCCCCAATCCTGCTGGCCGCTACCTCAGCAGTGTTGGAGAGACGCGCTGCTGATGGCGAACACTGCCAGGGAACCTAGTGCGATCAGTTATAGGAATAGAGGGAAGCAATGTTAAAGGCCTTGAGTGCCGTGCCGACTGGGGACACTGATCCTGAAATGCTGGACTGCGCCCTGGAGTCCATGGCTCAGAGGAAAGGCAGCGATTCTTTGCTGTGCAGCTGACCTCTTTGGAACAGGCATTTTAACCAACTTTGCTGTCTGAAAATGATGCCTAGGTGGAGATGTCATTCTGACTTGTCATGCCCTTCTTTTCTGGGTGGTTAATTCCAATCTTACTAGGTTCCAAAACAAAGCCATGGCTGCCTGACAGCTAGTGGGATGTGCATTTAGACAGTGCAATGGCTCAGCGCCTGCTCTGGGACAGACGCTCTTCTAGCACCCCGCTGGTGGCGGGGTGGTGAACCAGACCCTGCCCTTCGGGGCTTACCGTACATGAAACAAAACACGACAACATGTATCAACTGACAATAAATGTGATGAAGAAGGTCAAAGAGGGTGATTTGATGGAGGGTTCCTAAGGTGGGGCTACTCTGAGAGAGAGTGGCATCTGAGTGACACAACAAGAGCCCACCGTGGAGGAGGACCCGGAGGAGCAGTGCAGGGGCTGGGCCGCCTGGAGCAGGGGAGAGGGTCACAGGTGGGCAGGGGACGGCTCGGGGGGCCTGCAAACGCCAGGGTAAGGAGGTGAACACTCGTTTAAGTGCTACTTAAAATCAGCAGGGAAGAGAGGAAAAATGGTTTGTACTTTCAAAAAATCATTTTGGCTGTGATGTAGAGAAGAATGGAGGGAAGGTACAG